GAAAAAGCTACAGAAGTAGACTATTATTCATAGATATTTGCAAGTTTATAATGGAATTATTTTCGCGTCGATTTTTCAAGGAGAATTTCTTCGAATTTTTATTAGAATTGGGCTCGGTGAGTATTTAATATTTTTCTGTTGCACTTAGACCTTTCAGTAGCCTATTTCAGGCGTTCACTTTTTAAAATGGAGCTAAATGGTCAGGTCGCGTAAAGGAAGGAGATTTGGGACGGGTCACCAATACTCCCTCCTTAACACGACCCGACCCAAACCTCCCTCACTGTGACAGGGTCAGGTTGCGTTAAGGAGGGAGGCATGGGACGGGTTACCAATACTCCCTCTATTATGCGACTCGTTCCAAACCTCCCTCATTGCGACAGGGTCGGGTTGCGTTAAGGAGAGAGGTTAGGGACGGGTCACCAAAACTCTTCTATTATGCGACCCGTTCCAAACCTCCCTCAGTTTACGTTAAGGAGGGAGGATTGGGTCGGGTTACTGATACCCCTTCCTAAACGCGACCCGACTCATACCTCCCTCCTTTTCACTGTTCCGTCACTAACGCATTGTTTACGCTTGGAAAAGGTTAATCTTTCAGTAGTGTGGTGCTTTATTTTACTTTTCTGTGGAAACACCTGTTTATTTGATTAATTTATTTCGAAAAGGACGCTGGTAACGATGTAAGTGATTTTCTCTGGAGACAGTAATTGCTTCGCTAAACTCTCTAAATTCCCTCTGCCATGCATTTGAATTAAACAGATCAAAAACAAAACCTTAATTTAAAAGTTGGAGCTTTGAACGTAGTAGTTCTTAAAACAAGCTTTGCAACATTCATCAACTTCTATGAAGAACTCGTATAGCTTAAGCGAAAACTAGGAATTTATTGCGTTTGAAACCCGGTTTCAAAGTAATATATCAGAACAGCGTTCTTTTGTAATGTTTCAAAACTCATCACTCTTTTTGTTTTGTAGGACCCTGTGTTAAATGTAAGATTAAAGTTCTGTACAGTTCCTCCGCGCCTTAAATCGTTGTTAAAGTTACCGTCAGACAGACATTTGTTACAACAACTGGAGCAGTGTATCAGAAATCTACTGAGCAATGAAAAGGAGCCTGATGTTTGCAATGCAGTCAGAGAGGTATGGTCTTATCGTTACTCTCAGGATCTAATTGTTAATTCTCCCCTCTAGCTGTTACCACATTCCTTGCATTTGTTCTTTACTTCAAGGCGTTCATGAAGTTGGATAAAACAAAGTACGAAGATGACAAGATAGATCAACAGAAGGAGGAGGAAGAAAAACTTTTAATAGTCATGGTAAAGAATTATATCTGTAATGAAATTATTTTTATTTTGAATTTATTCTTTTGTGTCCTGCATTGTATCGATTCGCAGAGGAAGATGCCAGTAATCCCAGTTTGATCATGGGTTTAAATTACAGCCCTCTACCAGCAGTCTACCGCCGCCTATGAGACCTTTTAGCCTCGTCTATCATTTTTATTTCTTTAAATATATATATATATATATATAAACATATTTATCACCCTTTTCCCCAAAAGCACCCAGGCTTAACGAGAGGATTACGTCTGTTTAGCCTGCCAACAGGGCTCGCGGTAGGGTTTCGCCTCACGGCCTCTTTTTGAGCACCCCCACTTGTAACACCATCGCTCTGCTTATGGTAAAGGTTCTGAAATCCTTGTTTTATCGTCTGTAGGAGGAGAAAGAGAGAGAGGAACTTGCTGGGGCAAATAAGGTTTCGGATCCCAGAAAGAAAGGCAGCAAAGATGACAAGAGAAAAAGTAAGACCTTCCTTTAGAAACTGTGTCATAAGCGATCTCTAGATTGGTGAGAAAAACAACTGCGCTTGATATGCTGTTTTGGCGGGAAAACTTAGTAGCCAGCGCCGTGCGAGAATGGTGCAGTGATAAGAGTCATGCGCTTTCACTTTTGGGCCTTTCTCCTCTCTGAAGGATTAGGTTTCTCTGGATACCTGAAACCCCGGTATCTGAAATACGCTAAAGTTATTTCTCATTGTTTCCGCGACAACTTGTCTCTCAGAGTTTGAATTACATGACAAATATACAAACGACTGAAATACTTTCCGCTCAGTACTTTGAAATCGTATCAGATTATATCAAAGCTTCGCTCTGAATTCAACGTTTTATTTATTACTTCTCTCTTCTCCTTGGTAAATAAAACTTCTCTGATGACATTTACCTCTGACGATTCTACAGTTGTTGCGGCCAAAGGGAAAGCAAGCAAGCCTGAAGGTCATCCATCACTCAAGCGTACGCCTTCTAACTCTGGATCCAGTAAGTAGACGCTCACAACAAATTACAATCAAATATAAGATGATGTCTTTCCTGTCTAAGAGTGCTTTGTGATTGGCCTTGAAAGTCGCGCCAACTTTTCAACCAATCAGGTGCAAATTTTAAAGCAATCGGGCGTTGGTCACCAGCGTTTTCCCGCGCTTCTGGAAGGTGGCCGTTTTCCGTACTTTTTCTCCCATTTTGCGTCACATAGTGAAGAATTGTTTGAAAGGTGATTGGCTAAGTCCAAACATGACCCATAATGATTGCTCTCAGTCTCACTGTCTTTGTTTCCTACTACTGTTTACAGCTTCAACTGGTGCGGCTAAAACAAGCCAGAAGACAGCACCACAAAGAAATCCTGGATCAAAGGGTTCACCGTCCTCTAGTCTTCAAAGACTTCCGAGCCTTTCGTCAGCCCTCCCCAGCACAACCGGATCAAGCACAAGTTCAACATCCGCCGGGGCTTGGAAAGGGTCTCCAAATGCAAGCGGTAACCCTTCAGCTCGCGGTGCTTCTCACGCCTCGACGAGTGGCGTGAAAACGGCGTCTAAAACAACTAAGGAAAAGACGTACGTTTGTGAAAAAAAACTATATTAAACTCTAAACTTATTTTGAAAGAATAATTTTTTTCATTGCAAAAAAATTAATGAAAATGTTATGTTAATTTAACTTTGTAACCAAAAGGACTCAGCATTTCTACTTTTTCTTTTTGTAGGAGTGACAAAACTGCTGCTGGAAAAAGTAGAAAACCAATTTCAGTTAGTTCCTCAAATTCCAGTCGAGGAGGTTTTTGATAAGAGGTCGGTGTAATGTTTGATGACCTGCGACAGTACGGGCCGTCATACGTAAAGTATTAATATGACGACTCAATCCAGTGGACTAGAGAAGGTGTATACGAGGAACAACATTCAGCTGAGGCGACCAACGTGAGGAGATTCCAACAGAAGGAAAAGGCATGTCAATTTTAGGGTTTTCACTTACAATCGCGAATGTTGCGTGACAGCAGGGAGCGTGACTGTCACACAATTTACCAGTTTACTGCTTTGAACCGAAATATGGCATTGCCGGTTATTTTAAAAGCTGTAGGTGTATTTTTCGTACCGCATGGATTCAATAGTTACTACAACTTTTCGGACATTTAAAATCAAGCTTCTTTCTTGAAGCGTCTTAAACTCTAACAGATTACCTTTGGACAAGTATTTTGTTATCTGTCGAGTCATAATCTTTGTTCGAAAACTACGACACATTGTAAATAGTGTTCGAATTTCCTCTTCGTAATTCGCATATTTTACCAACACGCTGGTGACTTAAAATATCCTTTTAACTAGAGAATATTTAAAGTTGATCGTCAAATGGTAAACTTGATCGGTGAGTCATATAAACGTAAGTTAAGGAAAGTGAGTAATACTGATCTCACATTTTAGAATAAACCCTTCTTTAAAGTTATGATAATAAAAATATGTGCTTAAGACTTTTATTTTTGTTCATTAAGAGTTGGTTCGATCAGGCGCCCAACCTCGAATGAGCACCCACCCTGTAAGTACAAAAATTTAATAATT